TAGCTAGGAACATGGGGAAGTAATGGAGCAAACTACACAAACAAAATACAGAAATTGAACATCATAGAAGATAAACACAAATACAAATCATGACATTCCTTCAAGGAATGCTAGGCATTTTTATGTGGGATTCTCAAAATCCCTCATTCCTTTACCCTCTTGACACCACAGAAATGCTCTCTCTCGATGACACAGAAATTAATGAAAAGCAAGGAGGGTTTTCTTCTCACTTGCATCATCAGCTGTAAACTGATACAGCCACCCGTTTTTTTTAAGCCTTGTCCTCTCCTTTCTATTTTTTAATATTCTGCCTCTTCTAAAATGACCTAGGAGGCCTCAGTTTTAGGGCTGAGGCTGCATGAGTCATTTTGATCCAAGGGCACAGGACAGTTACCTCCCTCATCCCCTCATCCCCTGTCTTGCCACAAATTCGTGCAGCTGACTTGAGCATTGCTTTGTGTCCCTATGTTGCATCAGGCTCAGAGAGGAGTGTACAGTTATTAGCATCAGAAGGACATGCTTGCTCATCTGCCAGCAGTTTAGCCCGCTCGCCTGTCTACCCACCAGCATTCTGCCATCTGCCAGGCCCTGTTCATGTTCCATTCGTCTTGTGTCAAATAAAAGACGACTTTCCTTGGGACATCCAACCCTCTGCTGGCCCTTTTGTTCTTTCAACCGGACAGAGGTATACTGATTAGTTTTAAAATAAGTGGATTGCTGCTGGGGTGGACATGGCAGGAGTGCATGAATGCATGCTTTAGCTGTGGCGAGTTAACATTCTATTTGGAAGAGACATTAATGCAGAACCAATATATGCTCCATAAAAGATAAAGGACACACAACTTTGTTCCTTTATCAAACATTTTCTTTACTCTTTTTTTCCAAAAGGTTGGTCTCAATATTAAAACAGAGAGGATTACAGACTCTTAGAAAACTCTGAAGGTACTCCTATTGTAAAGTGGCAATGTGTTTGGAAATAAAAAAGTTATACGTATATTAAATGTATTCCTTGAAGAAATGCATACCATTGACAAATTACAGCAATTTAGTCAAACTTTAAATATAACATTACAACACTAAGCAATATTGTGAGATCTCTCTCTATCTGCTCTGTTCTTAGAGTGGGAAGTGTGTCTCATCCACTACTACATCAACTTCCACATCACTACCATTTTGAAATGAGTTAACTTCAAATGCTAATCAGTTAAGATATGCACCTAATGATTACTTTCTGAAAGTAATGTCCTATAAAAAAAGCAATACAATCAACATTTGCATATTCAAATTAGGGCTACAGTCATTCTACATGTACGTGTTGATGCTGTAAGACGGCAAATAAAAAGTACTGTGTGATAAGCATCAAGATTTGACATGATTGGAAGTCAACAGGAGGATCTGACAATAGGTAAACAAAAGCAAGAGACATAGGTTGAATTTGTCAACAATGGGTCTTATTATGGTTGAAAACAAACTTTAAAAAAATTGTACTGTATTATATCTAAATACAGTATTAGACTATAATATTTATCTTCAGTAATTAAATAATACAAATGTTTTAAAAGTGTAAATGTCTTGGAAATTTGAAGTTAAGTTGTAAAAAAAATCATTCCTTCTGAAAAACAATTAATCTCCAGATTAATCTCAAAATAATCTCATAATCTGTTTGAGGAGTTTGGTTTTAGAGCTCACCACAGCACTGAATCTGCAATGGTGAAAGTTACTAATGATATTCTCATGGCTTCTGACAATGGACAGGTGTCTACACTGGTCCTGTTAGAACTCAGTGCTGCATTTAATACAGCTGGCCATAATATTCTATCACAGAGACTTGAATATAATATTGGAATTACAGGAACAGCAATAAATTGGTTTAAATCAAATTTAATACATTTCAGTTCGTAAATGTAACTAATGAATGTTCTTCACATACTCAGAGTCAGAGTCAGAGTCAGAGTTTCTTTATTGTCATTCGCACCTCATGTGGTACATATGGTGGAGCGAAATTATGTACACAGGGTCCCAGTTACATCCAACAATAAATTGTATAAGAAAAACAGTAATAACATCTAAGATATGAACTAAGAAAAACATCAACTAAATATACACTAAGCACTCATATCATAAAACATTGAACATCAGCACAAACATGAACATGAGTCTGTGAGC